CCTGCCTGTCCCGCGGGCTCCCCGTCTGTGTCTTCTCCTGTTGACCTCCCCCTCTGTGCTCTCTCCGACAGGAGTGGTTCACAGTCTACGAGCACAACAGGCGCACCAACTGTACCGTGTCTGACCTCATCATGGGCAACGAGTACTTCTTCCGCGTCTTCAGTGAGAATCTGTGTGGTCTGAGTGAGGAGGCCGGCGTCACCAAGAACACCGCTGTCATCCAGAAGACGGGTCTGTCTGTCTCTCTGTCTGTCTGTGTCTGTCCAGTCCTCTGTCTCTCTCTGTGTGTGTGTCAGTCTGTGTCGTCCAGTCCTCTGTCTGTCTGAGTGTCTGTCTATCTGTCCAGTCCTCTGTCTGTCTGTGTGTCTGTCTATCTGTCCAGTCCTCTGTCTGTCTGTGTGTCTGTCTGTCTGTGTCTGTCCAGTCCTCTGTCTATCTGTCTGTGTGTGTCAGTCTGTCTTAGTCTCTGTGCGTTTGTCTTTCAGCATCTGTGTCAGTGTGTCAGTGTGTCGGTCTGTCAGTCTGTCCAGCCCCGTGTCAGTGTGTCAGTGTGTCAGCGTGTCAGCGTGTCAGTGTGTCGGTCTGTCAGTGTGTCAGTGTGTCAGTCTGTCCAGCCTCGTGTCAGTGTGTCAGTGTGTCGGTCTGTCAGTGTGTCAGTGTGTCAGTGTGTCGGTCTGTCAGTCACCAAGACCACTTCAGGGTGAATTCTCCTGTGTCCCCCAGGTCTGCAGTACAAACCCCCAGAGTATAAGGAAAAGGACATGAGCTGCTCCCCCAAATTCACTCAGCCGCTGGCGGATCGCTCGGTCATCGCGGGGTACAGCGCTGCCATCAGCTGCTCGGTCAGGGGCTTCCCCAAGGTACTGCACGCAGGTTCATTCTCTCGCTCTGGGGACCCCGGTACTGCGGACTGGACTGCTCCCTCAGGGGGGACCCCGGTACTGCGGACTGGACTGCTCCCTCAGTGGGGACCCTACTGTAGACTGGACTGTTCCCTCAGTGGGGACCCCTGTACTGTTGACTGGACTGTTCCCTCAGTGGGGACCCTACTGTTGACTGGACTGTTCCCTCAGAGGGGACCCCGGTACTGCGGACTGGACTGCTCCCTCAGGGGGGACCCTGATACTAGACAGAAGTGTAGAAGTGATGACTGGCCATATCAGCCCCCCCACGCTCTCTCTGCCCCTCTCCCTCTCCTGCTGGGGGCACCACTCACCCCGTTTCTACCCCCCCCCGCAGCCCAAGATCATCTGGATGAAGAACAACATGGAGATCAGGGAGGACCCCAAGTACCTGATGCAGAACAGCCAGGGGGTGCTGACCCTCAAAATCCGCAAGCCCAGCCCCTACGATGGGGGCAGGTACTCGTGCCGGGCCATCAACGAGCTGGGGGAGGACGAGGTGGAGTGCAAGCTGGAGGTCAGAGGTAATAAGGGGGCGGGGTTTGGGCGAGGGGCGGGGTCACAAGGGAGGGAGGGGACTCGGGGAGGGGGAGGGGACTGGGAGAGAGGGCAGGGACTCATGCTGGGCCATCAACGAGCTGGGGGAGG